ATATCTAGTCACACTTCCATGGAGGTGGTTCTCAAAACTCATCGTAAAAGACGTCACAGGCTAGATGTTTATACCGTGATTGAGACAGTTATTGAAGATACTTATTTGGTATTTGAAGTCATATCGCCTTGGTTAACGATCTTCATTGTCTCCTTCTCTGCCATGAAAAATGTTGGTTATTAATTGAGACGGTGCCACTTGAAAAGTTTTAAAACTCTTATGTGTTTATAGAACAACGAAGAACTCCAAACATTGTACTTGATTGTCATAAAGATCTGAAAGTGCACCTATTCATAAGTAAATTTTAAGTGTTAACCATGAGGTTACTTTCTCCTTAACAAATCTGTTTAATTTGAACACTCTAAAATTTGTATTGTCCATTCAGTTATTTGACAAAACCTAGTAGTTTCAATAAAAAAAACAATAAACGAAATACAACAAACACTAACATTGGGACACCTAGATAAAATTCACTTTATAAATGTCTTTTAAAAATACTAGGCCAATACCCATTTGTTTTTAATAACGTTTTAATATTGATTCCATTAATATTTCAAAATATATATTTTTAACAGTTTCTTTGCAATTGGATTTCCATAGATTACAAATTGTATAGATTAATGATAACAATTTTTTAAAATATCTCCAAAATAGCGCGAATATAGTCATTCATCATGGTTTCAAATTTAAGGAGTAAAGTTATTTTGTGTGAGCACAATCCTTGTAAAACTATATATCGTACATATTTGTGATGCAAAATTATTAGTTATAGAATCGTACTTTTAAGCTATTCATCATGATTGAGAGTTATGTTTGCTCAAAAGTTTATCATTAATTGTAAATAAAAGCTTAAATTTATAATCTTGAAGTAGAAGTCGATCATTTTTGTGGAAGCAAGATATATTTGTCATGTATTGTGTTTGTTTATAACTTAACAAATCCGTTATTGTTATATATTTTCTATGATGTAGAACATATTTATTTTATATCTGTTTGAGTTATTTGTCTTTAAAGATTGTAGAATTTTTTTAATTTATAACACAATTGCAGAACTACTTCATTATAAAATTGTCTACCTTCTTAGTGTTTTGTAAACTTGCA